GCGGTGGTGGTGGGGTGATTTTTAATGGTGGCTTAGGAGGTTCGGTCTAGGGGTGGGTCTGATTTTTTTTATTGACTTTTTCGACGGAATAGTTTTCCGTCGGAAATTTCCGACAGACTTTTCCGGGCCGAAAAATCTCTTCCGACGGATTTTAGGGTGTTTTCAACGGAAAAATTCCGTCGAAAATCGCTCGTTTTCTAGTAGTGATTGAAGAAACTCGTGCCCTTTCAGAGCTGTAACAAGCTTTGCAAACCAAGAACGTGGAGCTTGCTTCAAACCATATAACGACTTCCGCAATCGGCACACCAATTTCGTCTTAGAGCTCTCGAACCCCGGGGGCAATTTCATGTTCACCTCTTCTTCAAGATCACCATGTAAAAATGCGCTATGCACATCCATCTGATGCTGTTCCCAATTTTTCGAGGCTGCTATTGCTAAGAAGGCTCGGATAGTTGTCATCTTTGCTACTGGAGCAAAAGTCTCATTGTAGTCAATGCCCTCCGTTTCTTGGATTTCTTATTGCATTGATTTCCTCCACCCTTCATGCCTCATAGCCTCCTTGAAAGATTTCGTATCATGACCCAAAATTATAGCTGCCAAGAATGTACGATAATTGACAGAAAAATTATCACAATTAATATAGTGTGCTATAGGATACGGGATACCTAATTTTTGCTGTGGAATCGGTGTTGGCGAAGATGGACTTTTTGCAATAACCATATGAGTCACATAATCTCGCAAAAGAACCAAGGGTGTTTTTACTCGAAAACCCCTTCCCAAATCAGGCTGACTAGAACCAGGGGGCTCGGTTGAATGTGTCTCGGGCTGGCTCTGCTGACTGCTGTGCAGCTCGTTGTTGTGCGGCACTTGCTGCTGGGAAGGTACGAGCTATTGTAGCTGCCCATGCTGCTGTGATCCAGCGGACGCTGGTCGGCCAGTGGGTTGGGCAATAGCAATGCCCTGCTGGTCGGCCAGGCATCCACCGCCCTATGGATTTTGCTGAGTGTCCGTGCCATCACGTATAGCCCCGAGACTGACATCATATTCATAATCTTCATCAATCACAACATCATCATACTTGGGAACAACTCTTTCCGACTTAATGTTTACCGTGCTAGAATCAATGAATGGGAACACATTCTCAAATAATTTCACATCCCGTGACACAAAAAATTCTCGCTTGCAAGATCATACAAAGTCCATCCCTTTTTTCCAAATGGATACCCCAAGAAGACACATTTCCTACTCCGACTCTCAAATTATCACCTTTCGTTTTTTGATTGTGGGAAAAGCATAGACAACCAAAGGTGCGAAAAGCATTATAAAACGGGGAATAACCAAACAGCTGCTCAAAGGGTGTTTTATTGTTTAACAAGGGAGATGGGGTTCGGTTAATTAAATGTGCGGCTGCAAGAACACACTCCCCCCAAAAATAAATTGGTAAGTGAGCTTGAAATCTCAAGGCACGGGCTACATTCAAGATGTGTTTGTGTTTTCGCTCAACTCTACCATTTTGTTGTGGTGTCCCATCACATGATGTATAAAATAATATGCCGGTAGCAGAAAAAATAATCACGCAAACAATTAATTTAAATTCCGTACCATTATCACTTTGAACAATTTTTATTGTTAGTGAAAATTAACGATCAACCATAGCAATAAAAGTCATAAAAATACGGATATTTTCTGTTTTATCATCCAACAAATATACCCACACCGCACGGGAAAAATCATCAACTATGGTTAAAAATAACGAGCTCCACAAGACGAAGCATGTCTATAAGAACCCCACAAATCACAATGTATTTTCTCAAAAACACAACTTGCTCTACTATCACTAGAAGAAATTTGTCCCTAGGATGTTTTGCCCGGAAACAAACTTCACAATTTTTATTTAAACTACCCTTAAAATCAACTACGGGAGGAAGTAACTTCGTTACATTCTCTGAAGGGTGCCCCATCTATCTGTTTGTGCCATAGCTCCAAAGATGAAATTGCGCCATTCACCGAGACATGTTGCACCGAGTCTGCTTCTTCGAAGTAGTAAAGTCCATCTTGCCTAACTCCCGTTCCAATCAGCGTCCTCGTTTGGTCTTGTATAACACACAAAGAAGAATTAAATTTGACTATACAATTTAAATCCTCAATTAATTGTGAAACTTAAAGCAAGTTGCAACTCAATTGCGGAACATATAACACATGTTTTAATGTGACTAGTTGTGGCATCGCGTGCGTTGAGCGCGCTACCCCAATTTATCGTTATTTTTTTTATCACAATCAATAATAAAATTGATTTAATTTAAGTATCTTGATTATAATTAGATAGGTTCAAGACTAATTTGTATTCTATGTTTTTTTTATTGGTAAGGAGAAGGGCTATACCGGGCCGGAACCTCTCACAGGTCCTCCCGACCCAAGTTAGCGGGCTAGGCACTTTGAATGGGGGGGGGAGGTCGGAATGGTAAGGGAGTCCCTACCCGAAAGTGCCTCTAGTGGGGTCTTCGCAACATATGTATGTGACACATTACTTTTGTATGAATGTGTATATTACATCATTTTTTCAATTTACATGTACGAAGTATATCACTAATTAATCGAGTTGAAAAGCAAAAAAATCTTTGGTCATAAACGCAATAAGCTCCCATTTTTTAAAGTAATTTACATTTCAAAGTAATTTATTTGATGTCTAGAGATTATTTAAGATAAAATATAAAATGTAGATGAATTAGCTTAAGAAAATGTAATTAATTAAAGTGGTCCATCAATTTATTAGTGCTCTTAAGTATTCCTTCTGGTGATCTTTCTTAAGTGGTCCCCCTTTCTCTCTTCTAAGCTAATTGTCTTGATTTTTTATGTGATCTTTCTTAATTGGTCTTTCATCTCTCCAAAGCCAATTGACCCTATTTTCGTAAGCTATATATTTTACTTAAGTGACCGTCCTCTCTTTTTCTTTCTTAAGATAAATTAATTGTCATGATTTTCTTAAATGATCTTTCTTGTGTGGTCTCTTTTTCTCTCTCGTGTTTTTATAAACTAATTGTGTTTTCCTAAGCTAATACCCTAAATTTCTTAGGTGATATTTCTTAATTGGTCTCTCTCAGTCATTTTTTCTTTCTCTCCCTATCCTAAGCTAATTGCCCTGATTTTCTTTCGTGATCTTTGTTTTCTTTAGAGATATTTCTTCTTGAGTGATCTTTCTTTTTCTTGAGTGATTTTTCTTCTTAAGTGATCTTTTTTTAAGTGGTCTCTCTCTCTTTCTAACGTTTTAGTAACTCTTTTTCCTAAACTAATTTCTTTGATTTTCTTAAGTGGCCTATCTTACTTAAATGATCTTTCTTAAGTGGTCTCTCTCAAATCTCTCTCTCTCTCTCTCTCTCTCTAAAGTGATTAATCTTTCTTAAGAAATTAGCTTAAGAAAATGTATAGCTTAAGTGGTCCATCATTTATGTAAGCCTTTTTCTGAGCTAATTGCGCTTTCCTAAACTAATTGCTCTGTTTTTCTTAAGTGTTCTCTCTCTCTCTCTCTCTCTCTCTCTCTCTCTCTCTCTCTCTCTCTCTCTCTCTCTCTCTCTCTCTCTCTCTCTCTCTCTCTCTCTCTAACATTATAGTTAGTCTTTTCCTAAGCTAATTACCCTTATTTTCTTAAGTTATCTTTCTAAACTGGTCTCTCTCTTGCTCTCTCTCCTAAGCTAATTGCCCTGATTTTCTTAAGTGATCTCTCTCTCTCTCTATCTGTGGTTCCTTAAAATATTGCAAATGCATAACATGTTTATCATCCAATATAGCAGCATAATAACTACACCGTAATTCATACTTATTAACCAACAAAAATATTCAACTTATCCATTTGAGGTGACATTAATTGGATGGTGTACTAAGAAATCAGCTCTAGAAATTGATCAAAAACAATATGAAGGGTATAAAATTCTATATAGACTATTTTATACTCCATATTAGAAACCAACCTTCGAAATCTGAACCCTCTAAACAGGTTATGCAATAGATCGTACAGTATGAATTTTGATTGTCATAATCTAAATTATAGTCCTAAAATAAATAATTACACATCAAACAAATCCATCCCTTTAAATTTTGTCTTTACAATATCACCTTAATAAAGGCGATGTATACAAATCTAGACAAATTATAATACTATTAGCACCAAAATAGGTTACTCAATATGAAAAACTAAACTATATAAATAATACAGTACCTGACCATAGCTTATGACTTTATGTGTAAATATACGTACCCCTAAAATTATTACTTATAGAGTTACCTCACCCTTAATTAAATTATTCATTCTTAAATGGTTTGCTCATTCCTAAATAGTTTGTTCGCCAGTCACTCCTAAATATGATGCGTAATATAAATTGCTCACCCCTAAAGACGCGTGTGTTCCTTATTAATGTAAGTGTGATCCTTGTGAACCGGCTTTGCTGATGTTTCAGAATTTTTTTTACTATTAAAATTTGAAAAATATCAATTCAAAGCTAAGGAGCACTTTTGTTGTTTAGTTCACCTTATTTTTACTTATTTCAGAAAAAATAAGTTCAGATCAGATTAGATCAGAAAAAATAAGTTCAGATCAGATCAGATCAGATCTAAAAAAATAAGTTCAGATCAGGAAAAATAAGTTCAGATCAGATCAAGAAAAAATAAGTTTAGATCAGATCAGATCAGATCAGAAAAAATAAGTTCAGATCAGGAAAAATAAGTTCAGATCAGATCAGGAAAAATAAGTTCAGATCAGATCAGATCAGAAAAAATAAGTTCAGATCAAATTATTATTATTATTATTATTATTATTATTATTATTATTATTATTATTATTATTATTATTATTATTATTATTGATTTATGATGTATCGGATTTGATTTTATCGTTTGTTTGAACTAGCAACATTGTCTATGCTATTAAATAGCACAAACAATAAACGATAATAATTAAAATTTCATTATAAGCTCCAAATCATAAACGTTTACAAATATAATTTTCATTACAAGACGTTCCAAATTTCCTTCGCTATATTAAGTTGTACTTCTTTCATTACAGCTTTACGATTCTCGTTAAACAAATCATAATCTGCTCTTGGTTCGATTTCTATACCACTATCAATGGGTATATCCAACTCATGTAATCGAATAAAATTGTGAAGTGTGAATGTAGCAACCATAATAGCCAATTGATGTTTAGTGTCCATTTGTGGCATCATTGTCAATATTTTCCATCGACCTTTTAATTGTCCAAAACATCTCTCGATCGTTGTTCGAAGTGAAGAGTGAAGATAATTAAAAAGTTCAAGCATGCCTTGTGGTGGTGGACCATTTCGAAATTCAGGCAAATGGGTTCTAATATCTTTTTCTTTTATTGGACTCAAATATCCAACGGTATTCGGATATCCAGAATCTACTAGATAATATTTTCCTGTTACAAAATAAAGTTATACAACATATTAGTATAGTGTCATGTATGGAGTAAAAACATACACTATTTTAAATTATACCTGGAGGTGGATGGGGAAATCGAAATTCTGGTACAGTTAAGCAATGGTTCCATTCAGTAATATCATGAGCACTACCTTCAAATCCAACGTTGATAAACGTGAAAAGCCTATCAAAGGAACAGGCAGCCAAAACATTCATGTTTTTTTTCCTTTACGCCCTCGATGTGCCACACCATCATCATCGCTTACAACTGCATTTATATGAGTCCCATCCAATGCTCCAACACAATCCTAATAGTTCATTAACATTTAGGATACATTTTATAAGTGATTATATATTGCATATGCATAAAATAATATAATGACAATGCAAGATAATAATAATGTTTCTTAATACCTTGAAATATGGCCAATATTTTGTGCTGTCACCTATTTTTTTGGCACCACGGTCAAACTTTGGTATGGTCTTATGATCTCGGTAGACAAATGAACCATTGCTTCCAGTACTTGTTTAAAGTACAACCCAATTGTTGCAATAGAGTGCTGAAATCGACCGGCAGCATCACGATAAGAACTGCCTTTAGCCATGATATATAAAAATATTCCTAATTGCTCAGCCACAGATATGTAACGACCATCCGATAATAAATTTTTATTTTTCATGCATGTAACAAGATCCACAAATATATTTCTATCTAATCTCAATTTTTCTTTGCATAAATCAGGATGGGCATGTAGTAGTCTGTTTATGTATTCGCTACCAGATTCTCCACCTAACCTTAGAGGCAATCTCTCAATTGGTGTAAGAAGTCTCTTTAGCTCTTCCAATGCGATAATTGTCAAGCACATTGGAAGTGTGTTATCCATTCTACAACATAAACCAACAAAATACCAACATTATTCAATTTGTAAAATAAAATCAACAATGACTTTTAAAATAAAGGCTAAAGCTTCTTAATTAGATCACCTGAAAAGCAATAGCATCATATGAAGCTACTTAAACCTAAAGGTCAGAAAAAATAGTAGCTTCATATGTGGAACCTTAATTAAAACTAGAACAACATCAAATAACTAACAAAGAACATATGAAAGTGCAAAACAAGTCATAGGAAAACATAAGACAAAGTTAACTTCAAATACTCATCACCCCAAAAAACCTAATTAAGGACCACCCAATGTTGGATCTTGAAATGCTGTCTTCAAATACATTATCTTCTGATCATCACTTCAGAGACCTAAGAAGAAATCTGCATTATCGCCATGATGAAGAAAATTCATACATTGGTAAATAAATCCTTCTCCTTGTTGAACAATAGCCTCAATATTGTATAGAGCGTCTGAAACATCTTTATACTTATTACCACTCCCTTGCTTACAATTAGTTTCAATAGACATTTTCAACAACTCTATACAAGATTCAATGTTACTACTCTTGTTTTTTTTAAGTTTACTAGTACACCCATCACTCTTATGTTTCCCCAACGAGGTACTTTTAGGAGGTGAAATGCTCTGTTCATCATCCGAATTATTTATTCCCCTACTTATTTCCATATCTCCTATATTTTCATCACTGTCCCCAGACCTTTCCTCATTTTCTTTACCAATCTGTTCCCCACCTAATCCTGGAGAAAAACTCCATTTGCTAGTAGAAAAAGACCCTGAAAAAAGTGTCCGTAACTTCTCAAGATGAGGCAATGGTCTCCTTAGGAATCTCGCTGGCATACCTTTATGTTTCTGCATAAATGCACAAAATTTCGATTAAATAAATTTTAAAATAAATTAGCATTATAGAGGTCATAATGCAACAAAATGGATAAATAAAATGTCGTACCTTCACAAATATATTCCACCTATCATCTTGTTCAACTACAGGACAACCAGTAATAGGATCAAATGTAAGACCGGTCCAATTGAGTTCCATTTCATTCCAAATTTTGAACCTCTTCCTTAAATCATCCCAATGATTTCTTGCTTGTTTAATATTGAAATTCTTCCCACTTTTAACGTTCAAAGTACTCACTATTCTATCCCAATTAACCTTTGATAGTCCACCCGCTTTCATCTCCAAGCATATGTCCAAAAAAAATTCTGTGCTGTCATCAGACCATGCTACCCTACCAGCCATTACACTATGATCAAGAGCACTTTAAAATTATTAGTTTCATGCATGAAAGATATAAATAATCAAAATAAGTACATAAATATATACGCTACGTTTCTTATGTATATAGTATTTATCCTCAAATCAACGCAACCAAACTCCACCATTTAAATTATTTTCCTTATTTACTTTTATAAAAGACATGCAACCCCGATATCCTCCTTTTTCCTTGGTGTGTGTGTGAGGCCGTGTGGGGAGAGGAAGGGGGTTTGTAAATCACTAATGTCTACATACTAGCGGTAGCTTGAATTTGGCTAAAGTAGTGGTAATAATTGAATCTCAAATAGATAAGTTCTTTACTTAATGCTATTATAAGTGGACAAGCTCTTTACTAATTCATCTCTTCTTTTACTGTATTAACACTATACGTATTACCAAAATAAAGTATTATCAATCATTATAGCAATGGTCACCCAAAAAAAAAAAAAAAAAAAGACACTATACGTATTACCAAAATAATTAAAGTGTTATCAAAATAATTATAGCATGGACCATTTATAACAAGTATAGTAAAAGATTTCCAATATTAGATTAATTCTATTCTTTTCCTCCTTTGCCAGTTTTCCCCATGAGCACCCCCTTCACCGCCACCGGCCCCACCCCCATAACCACCAGCATAATACATGACCCAACTCTAAACAATTAAACCCATAAAGTAAACAATTCACAAATCACAAGTATTGTAAAAGTTAAATAACAAGGTGACAATCGATAGATAATTTTCAAAAAAAAAATGATATATCATCTTATCACCTACTATACAATCATCAATTTGACTAATAATTTGACTACACAACATAATAATTAAAAATTAAATAATTCCTCCTTAGATAAAAATTCAATTGAAACAATAATATACTCCGTAACTAGTAAATTACCCGATGAAGTGATGATTGTAGACGAAATTATGAAAATATAATAAAATAAAATAAAAACAATAAAGAGTTAAGGTATTTACCTATCAACAAGATTGTATACGAGCAAGCTACTACAATGACCAACAGAAGGACAAAATTTTGGAGAGATTGATGTGTTGTAGGTAAGAAATATTGCAATACGAAAAAATATATATACACAAAAAAACCGTAGTACCAAACTACCAACACTCCCAATTAATATTTTTGTCAGTCAACTATGCAGATTTCTATGATAAAGTCATAAAACAATACTTTTTCAGAAATAAAACAATACTTGATATGTAAAGAAAAAATAGCCAACCATGCACCATGCAAATACATGTCTGGTATTCATTTCCTAGGATATAGTCAATGCGCCATTAATTGTCGGTTATCAGATTAGATTAATTATTATAAAATGAGATAATTAGAGAAAACCCAGTTCAGATTTCTAGAATTGACAGGCAGTAAAAATACAGTATCGAGAAAACCCATTTCAGATTACAGAATAATTAATTTAAAATAAATAAATTAAACAAAAGAAAAATGTGAGTTCAGATAAAAATCAAAATCTTAGGATAATAAAATTAACACATCTGAAAAACTGATGTTGGTGGATAGATCGTGGAAGCTTTAAAAGAGGAAGATTCAAATTGAGAAATTACATACCGTACAGTTGGTCTTCAAGAAGAACATCATCGTCCTTTTCATTGTCGTCTCTTTCAATTTATCTCATTAAAATGTTGTTTGCCTCTCAATGTAGCTCAAACATTCAGTAGAACACTGAAAAACGGCCTGAACAAATTACCGGCGCACGGGATTTCATAATAACAGGTAGATCCGGTTGACGATTTTGGGTAAGGATTGATTTTTTTTTTCACTTTGAAAACCGTCATTCTGGAAATGGGAATGGTATTAAAGAACATGAAGATGGTAAGAACATGGGGAATATCGCCACTTTTGGTATTTATTTTTCTGTTCTTTACTTTTTTTAATTTTTTTAATTTTTTAAGGGATAATCTTTTAAGGGATAATTTTTAAAGGGAACATGTAGTTTTGAGAATATAAAGTTGTAGTTATATTGTGTTGATTGATTTAAGTTATGATTATAAATAAAATGTGGGCTCATTATGTTATAGTAATATGGATAAAATAGTCATTGTACATGGAAAAAATTGTCAAAAAAGGAAAATTTTATTTTTTTGGCACTTTTAATTTACTTACGGAGTATAATTCGTGCGTGACCCAAATCATGTCTTCCAAGCTTCAATAGAGGAGCCTAACGCTAACATGGGTCGGAAGAACCTATGAGAGGTTCCGACTCGGTAGAGTCTTTTTCTTTATATAAAAAAAAGGTTCAATAGAGGAACAAATGAATAAAAAAACACTTAAACACACGAAACAAGTTAAATATAAAAGCTTAAATAAAAAAAGGAAAATGAAATCTAATAATCCCACCTTTGATCCATCTTCCAGAAACAATCTCACCTTTTGAAATTTTAGAAACAATTCCATTAACAATAATGATATTATTATTATTTTTAATAATAATATAATATAATATAGTATAATAATATAATAATAATAAGAATAATAATATAATATAATAGTAATATAATAATAATAATAATATAATATAATATAATATAAATAATATAATATAATAATTATAATAGTAGTAGTAATAATAATAATAATAATAATAATAATAATAATTAAACATTAATATTAATTGACATTAAAAGTAGAATATTGAAATAATTAAAATAAAGTCAAATCAGAAAAAATAAGTTCAGATTAGATTAGATCAGAAAAAATAAGATCAGATCAGAAAAAATAAGTTCAGATCAGATCAGATCAGAAAAAATAAGTTCAGATCAGATCAGATTAGGAAAAATAAGTTCAGATCAGATCAGATCAGCTAAAATCAGGTGAACTAAACAGCCTCTAAGGGTTTTTAATTTGTCCAAACTACGCATATATATATATATATATATATATCAATTATATATCGATCAGGTCATGCTCCTCATTGTATTATTGCTACTATTTGCAGTTATTAAATTATTTTATTATAATTGCTATTAATTGGCAAACTAATTAATAATCAAACATCTATTTTATTGATTGGTAAACTCCCGTAACAATAATAATAGTAACAATTAGCTCAAACTCTCTTTTATTTATGTGGATCTGAAGTTGCCGCATTGGTAGACATGTATGTTAAGTGTTGATTATCCAAAAACACAAGGTGAAATGAAAAGTTGGAGTAACATAGATCGTGTGATGGCCAATGCTAAATTTACATCACACAATGAGAGAGACTGCTACCTTTCACTATATTATTATCACAATGGAAATATCAATTACAGGTCTAAATTAATTCATTTGATTCAAGACTAATAAGTTCACATAAAATGCTTAAGTTAGAAAAAACTACTCTTTAATCTTCCTAAGAATTCCTAACAGCTATATGTCACTACAAAACTTCGCAGTTTCCATAAAATGCTCATCACTGCCAAGTCGGGCTCATGTTGTTATGTCAAAGTCAGTGGAGCTGCTGGATTATTAACCTTGTTTCGTTCTCCTTAGATATTTCCACCTCAGAGGCTCAGATGTAAAAAATTCAATGCCTCAGATGCATACAAAACTATTTCTAACAAAAAAAAACGGCTAGGACATATTCTTGTGATATAGCTGCTTTGTCCATCATAAGAAGTAGTACTGAGCAAGAACTACAAAAAAAAAAAAAAAAAAATCAGCAAACCTGAAAAAAGAAAAATATAAGAATACTTGGTATTACAACATCAAATTATAAGAGAAAGACCCGCAACAACTAATCACAACTATGCCAGATAAAATGATAAATAACAGTTAAAAAAACTCCGGTTATCCCTCTCAGATATTAAAGAGGAATATTTAAAAATTACAGGTTAACAAGTTACTGATCTTTTATCTTGTTCATCGTAAACTTTAGCTCAGCATGTATACAAAAATTAACTATATTTTCACCAATTCCTATCTATCGCCAAAACAATTCATATTGCATAAGTTGTCAATAAAGTCTATTGGTCCAAATGCAAATGTTCAGCACCTAATATCCCCAATCTCAAAAAGGATTAATATGCACATTATAAATAAGCATCATACCCCACAAAAATCCCCAACTCCAACTATGCAAACTGCTTTTCTAATTTCTTACACAAAAATCCTCCAAATGGCGATTATAGATTATGTTTAGTGTGCTAGATGTGTGTTACCTTAGTAGTGTGTGATAAGCATCATTTCCTTACTCTAACTCTTATAATAGAGCTGTAGTATAAAGACTTGGGTGGAGGTTAGCATCAACTTTGTAGTCCGTAGATCTTCTATTTTACCAAACATAGCAAGATCTTTCTGTTTTTTGGGTACATAGCAGTATCTTTACCTTCACAATTAACAATCATCAACTTACAACATAAATAGAATACAACGCATCAGAATGAAGCAATTGATTGGTGGTAAATGCATACACGAAACAACTTATTCAGTGAAATACTAAAATTCCTTAACCCCCCCTTCAATAAAGAGAAAATCAAAGAATTCCTAGAACCCAAAAAAAACTGAAAGTTATGTCCCAATTTTTACTTCTCTGAGTAAACCCCAGTAAGAGTTCTGAGACAAAAATCAAATTCATGATTAGCATACTTAAAATATAGAATTCTGAGAGAAATCAAACAATCCAGATAAAATACAAAATCATTGACATTTTCAAAGATTTAATCAAACCAACTATCTAAATAACCCCAAAAATGTGCCAAAATAAAACCCATAAATTTCTCGTTAAAACCCTATCTTAAAAAGAATAACTTCACTAATTATGACTATTAGGTAAACAATCAACCTTAGAAGGACCCTAAGTTAGCTAGATAGAAAAATAAATTAACGATGAACCCAAGATTGTGAAATTGATATTTGATGATTGATAAAAAAAAAAATTTTAAAAAAATATATATCTTACCACAGAAGCCACTTAAATGAAGGAGACCCAAATCGTCGTCTGTTTATTCAAGGGTTCCAAGAATGATGAGAGTGACACTCTAACCTTTATACAAGGAATGCAAGAAAACTCTAAGATTTATTATTGAAACTCTAACCTTTAATTTGCTCCATACCTTATTTAATAAGTTCTTCGTGTCCAAGTTGTAACTGAATAAATCTCAACTCATTTTTTGGTGTATGGGAAGTAAATGGACACATCAAGGGTGAAACTATGCAGAAGTTGGGATCAAAGACATCAATTCAATTGACAACTCAGAACAATCCAGGAAGAATTAATGCCATGTGACTATGTGAGAATCATATTGTCCTAGCTACTTTGTTCTTTCTACGGAGTATGAAATAATAAAAGAAAATATGATTATGTCATTATGATCTAGGTAAATATAAACTTGATACAAAAAAAATTGCTCAGGTATGTAAGAAATGAGAGCATTAGTAAACTTTTAATTTTTTAAAAACAAAAGTAGGACATCCAGTTACAAACAACCATATAGTACTTTGTCCGAAAGCCAACAAGCTTAATACTTTGTCTAAAGTGACAGTAGTTACAAGCCGCTGACTGAGAAATCAACCATAGCACATAAAGAATAAGAATGCCGAGCTTTAAAATTCTATGTAAAAAAGCAGAATCAATTCATTCTAAATTGGCAGTGCAGTACTGGAAATATAGCCCCAACATATACGACGAAAGTTGCACAAAGGAAAAAAATTTAATACCGTTCTGGTCATGATTTCTCCAACTCTTATATACTTGGCAGGTCTTCCCTCTGCAGCAGTGCAGCGACTTTCCTGAGATAGTCTACTCCCCACAACATCCATTTCATCCCTGAGAAGCAGTGTTTATTTTAGCATTCTTATCGAGCACATTTAGAATAAACTACTATAATCTGAATAGTGATATAACATGTAGATCTAGATCTTAGAGTTATGAAGTACTTCTTTCCGTTATTATCCCTGAAATGAGCACTTTATCTCCTGGATACAAAACCACCAAAGAGCCAATGTCGTTCCGTGCCATCTGCAGTAAGATTAATGTTAGTTCGGATACTTAAAATGAAAGTCTGCATTTTTAAGAATCTATCACATCATCAAAAAGGATACACACCTGTGTCAACGCATCTTGGACAGTTTCATTAGCGCGGAACCAGAGCCAAGAGCCAGTTCTCTCCCCTCCCGGTGAGGGAAAACGGGAAACAGGAACAGGAAAAGGTAAGGTGGAAGAGAATGGCTGAAGCTGTATGTAAGACAGGAAGCATACGTACAGAGCTTACAAACATCTGTGAACATTTTTCCCTTTTACAATTCACAGAATGGAAAACAATATTGAGCATTTTTCAATTCAATTTTAAAAGAAACAACCAAACAAAGTTTGATTAAAAATCTTGACTATGTAGCTTTCCTCAAGGGCTAGCTGCAATTATTATTTATTCATAGATTCTAGATATCCAACATATTGTTACTTTTAAAGTGGGGAAAACTTACAAATATCTGACAGGCCGAGAATTGGATGAGTCACCTTCTATATCTCTATTTAGAGCAGCTGTGAATGCCTCAACATCTACTCCAGAATGCATCGATTCATCCTAATATTCATTCATTCCCCTGAATAATAATGTCAACAATCGTTAGAAATTTACAACACAAAGTAATATACTTGGAAAACATCGGCAAGAGAGGATAGAATACCTCACCCTCTTCGAGTTGCTTCACGATAGGGGGATCCATTACACCACTAAATACTTATTCAAAACTTCTACCAACTGTTGATTAAATTACCAAGAATTAACTCGAATTGTCGAACAAAGTGTGTTAAACAACCACAAATAATTAATAAGAAATTGAAATCGGTGCATCCCAAGATTTCTCTTATAATTTCAACTTCCCCACGAAGGTGGTTACTTGGTAATCATGGCTACACAATTCACCAATTAACATCCTATTTGATTTGGAACCCGAAAATAAATATGGATATAAACTCATGATTTCTAAGATTTTTAGCAAATCACAATTCTATGTTTATTAACCTAATTCTGTTCAAATTAAATGTCCCACTCAATCATAAATACTCCCTCCGCCCGTGAATATCTGCAACAAAGGACATATTTTCGGAATCTCATGAAAAATTTTTAGGGGAGTGTTAATTGAGTTTTGGTGGATTTAATTAATGAGAGAGAAAGGTAAAAATACAAAATTACTCATATAATGATATATATAAACTAAACATTTAAGTGTTGAAAAATAAGAATATATTTGGTATTTGTAGTGTGAACACAAATATTTGTAGTGGGTTTTAGGTAGTGGGTAATAGGTGGTGGAGGGGATCACTAACCAAAAAGTGGGTAATAGTGGGTAATTAATAGTTAAATATTAACCAAAAAGGAAATAAAAAAATTTGTTGCAGATAATAAAAGCATCCGTTTTTGGCAAATGTTGCAGATATTCACCGGCGGAGGGAGTAACAAAAAAATCGCCAATTACAATTAGTGGCATAGTTTAGAACAACCAAATCGGATAAAATTATTGAGCAATCAAAAGAAAATAAGAGAACGATGATATAAACTCAACAACAAATAAGAACAAAAAGCATAATTAGTAAATGATCGGAGTAGCTCAACCAAAACTAAGAACAAAAATCAGAATTTGATAGAGTTTATGAAATCAGAATTTCCATTGCTATAAAAATTCACACTTAATCAGTCTAAGAAGGGAATTGAACAACAAAGAGTGAGAAGAATTTAATGGCGAATTCATCACCAACAAAAAATCCAAAGAAACCCAAATTTAGGAGAGAGAAAATACCTGTAGCGGTTATTTTAAAAATTGATGTCGATTTGGAGGTTATTTTGTTGAGAATTTGGATTTAAAAGAGAAATAACTTCTATAATTAACGATAATTCACAAATGTTTGACTAACTGACAATTAATTAGCGAAAACCCCAAAATTGTAGAATTGACATTCGATGATTACATAATTAATTAATAGCATACCTCATAAACTGCTTCAATGGAAGAGAGAAAGCTAAGAAGCCACTTCAACAGAGAATTGAAGGAGTCGAGATTGAATGAATGGAAGGGTAAGGGTCGCCGGTGGAGAGTGAAGGATTAAGCATTTTTAGAGAGTGACTATTGGATATGTGGAGTGGAGGAAAAAGCGGGGAAAGTAGAAGAATGCAAACAAGAAAGCAGCAAGTAAATGTAAAATTGCACTGTTGGCAAGGGCAAAAATGTCAGAACACTATTCATTTTCAACAGTAAGGCATTACTGTTTATAAGCTACAAGCTACAGTAGATTTGTTTGCATGTTTTTAGAAAAGGGTATAGATTGAGGCCGATAATCGAATCGACCCCTCCTTTGCAAGCACAGTCCCGCCATTGGGAAGACCAACAGGCAATGAATAATATTGGTTACATCAAATAACCATATCTCGTCTCCGGTAACATGATGGGTAGCGCCGGTATCAATAATTCACTTTTTGGTATTAAACTCACCGGCCATTGTTATAGTTTATGTAAAAATAATCAAGGCTCCGATACCATGTCAAACAATAATGGAGAATAATTGCTTGATTGTATTCTTGGCTCTTGGCCGAAATATATATTGGTATACAAGATAAACTAGTACGTACCTCCGGGCGATGTCCCGGGTTCCCTCCATAATATATATGCATATGTTTTAAGATCGTTACATTAATTGGCTACCTATAGAATAATTATAAGGAATAGTTATAGTCTCAAAGGAATTTTTACTAATGTCTAAATCTATTCACTTTTGATACATTAGTTGCTTTAAATGTTCATAATCGGATGAGTAATTTAATTTTACAGTTCCATTGACATTTAATAATTTGAGTACTCCTAGACTTTATTCGAAACCCTCACTTTGAAAGTAAAAATATATTACTATCGATCATAAAGTTGTGGGTTATAATTTTTAAATTAAAGTATATCATAAATGAATTTTTTTTGAAATACTCTTAACACAAATATTATGATATAAAAATTATAAATTATTAAGATAATCATTATTGAAAATTATAAAAAAAAAAAATTAATAGGATTATAATTTTATTTGTACATATAACATATTGGTATTTTATCGAAAATAAAACTCTAAACCAGTAATTTTATCCTAAAATCTATCCAAATTTTATTGAAAATAAAACGCTAAACTAACTTTTTTATCTTACAAAATATATCTAAATCTATCCAACATTTTCATCCTACTAGTCATACTAATAATTATTGTTGTCTACGTGGCGTGACACTTGGCGAAAAGTTAAAATGTCAAGTGTCGTTGTCTCGTGGTATGACTTAAAGTTTAGCTTTATATATTAGTTATATGATGTTTCTTATTTTAAAGAACTTTTTAAAGCGAATTTGATGATAGAAATAGAATTGAGTTATAGGATATTTATCAAAAGTTATGATTAATTTTGTATATATAAATATTAGAATTATATCGATAATAAAACTCTATGCAATAATTTTATCTTAAAAAATCTATCTAAAAATTGCTTACTTAGAATCATATGTGTCACAATAATACCTATTTATCTCCTACGTAGCGCGACACTTGGCGAAAAACTGAAATACCAAGTGTCGTTGTCTCGTGGCCTGACTGCGAGACCAGTTTTATTTATTAGTGAAGTGATATAATATAATATGTAAAGAATATTAGCTATGATAACAACTTAACATAACTCTATCTTTTGCCAACTAAGTATCCTAATCAAATCAAATCATATATCATCATATATCGTAACATTATATTATTGCATAGTGCCGACAAAATACAATATAAAGTTTAGGTTGAAATGATAAATCTTTACCACCAGTCATAAGTTAAAAATTAAAAAAAATAAAAATAAATAAATCATTCAAACACAAAAAGGTAGCATTTTATACTGATGAGGATCCGGGACACTTGATGAAGTACTCTTCCCATTTTTTAATGGATTATTTTAACTAATTATATGTTTCGCATATTTTTAAAACTTTAATTTAATTAAGACTAAACCTCACTTTCAATTATACGAAGTAGCTTTCATACTTCATGATCCAATATAGGAGGACAAATTTAGGTCAGATGAGCAATTTTATGAACGTACAGAGCAATAAATGAGATACGTAGGTCAAATCAGCTATATATATTATATATCTTCAAGCTAATTGAGTCAAGCTGGACTGTACTAACTAACTATTAACCGAAAAACTTATTGTTATTTGATGAAATTGTTCAAGCATATATATTAAAGGCATTTGAAAACTTAAGCCTCAAATTTCCATGAAAGTCAAAGCTACAACTAGTAGTAGCTAAGCAGTGGAAAAGCCAAATCAATCACAATAATATTATATATGTAACTAACTCAAGTTGTTGCAAACTTAATTAATATGAAAACGATCTTAACACATAAAAACTTCGTCATTTTTCAGCCATGCATTAATATCTTGAAAGCCAGGCCAAAATCATTATCATGACAGATAATAATGTGTTGCAAACTTGCAATCACGAAAATGAAACCCCTAAAATGCTTTATATTTTTATCTAACGTAATACATATAATTAGACATTTATGGAAGTCTCAACACCTAAAGTGCATTATATTTTTTTCAACTTGGTCGACTGGCCTTTTATATATAAAAAAAATAATAATAATAAAATTAAAAAAAAAAAAAAAACCTTTTAAATGTATTACATATAAAAATATAATTAGACACTAATAGAATACATACGTACGTGCACTCCATTCTTGGAGAGCTAATTTCGAAATCTATCATTCTTCGATGAAATCAACAAAACAAAACTTCACCGTATGAAACTTGATTAGTTGTGATAAGGAAATTAACCTACAGAGTTATAGTTTCCCAAGTTTTTACCATAATTCTTATGAATTGTATAAAAGTACTAGAAAGAGATTAATAATGGGAAGTAGACAATAACGGCAATAATGTGGTATAGTAGACATCAAGGCCCGAAGTTTACATTATCTATTATACTATCCATATTCCTAGTGTCAAAATTACTTGTAATTACTAGTATTTATTTTTCTTTTCCAGCCATAAAATTTTCCATTAATTGAATTATTCCGTGTATGATTCCAATTTTTAATCTTCCTTCACTCTCCCCAAACAAGGCAAACACCACATTAGTTACATTATTGTCCCAACGTAAATTTTACTTTTAGGCGGTTTTACTGCATAAATATATAGTAGTGTAACGGAGTTGGTGTGTGGGCATGATTTTAGTAGGTTTATATAACATAAATTTAAAATCTACTGACCGGATTTATATTTATGTCAAAAAGTAGGTCTATGTAACGTAATTAGAATCTACTCCGTATTACTATAATTGTTTCTCGCTCATCATAAAGATACTTTTTTACTCCACGATTACAAATAAAAAATTAAAAATTAAAAAAAAAAAAACAAAAAAAAAAGAATTAGAGGGAGTAATAATTTACCTTTTAGCTCTTTACGTGACATAGTGACGTGCCTTTAGGGGTATGTACATCATTTCCATCAATAAAAAGTTAAAAAACCCATCAATGTTAAAGTTTAATTTCTTATTCTATTATTCATTGTATCTAGGGGTGTACACCGGTCCAAAACCGGACCGGACCTGGACCGGACCTGTTTGGACCGGGGACCTGAATTGGGTAATTATGAGGACCGGGGACCGGACCTGAATTAACAGGTCCGGTTCCGGGCCAGACCTGAAAAATCAGGTCCGGTCCGGGTTTGGACCTGAATGGACCTGTTTTGTGTCTTTTTCGTTTTTTTTTTTTAATACAAAACCTGTTGGACCTGCATATGGACCTGTTTTGTGATTTTTTGACCTGTTGCATAATTTAATAATTACATACAAACCAAAATTATCAATTACAAAACTACATAAAGTCTATAAAGTCCCGATTCTCAAACACCAAAAATACAAATGAGTCCACCGAAAATACAAATAAGTCCACGAAAACTCATAAAATTACATAAATTCTCTTAAGTCTCAACTCTCAAGTACTAGAAATACATAAATTCTCCAACGAGTTGTTTTCCCTTTGATCGCGTGATTCACACTAATGAGTCCACGAAAACAACTTCATCGTCTACATCGTTAGATTCACCACGTTGCACCTCTAAATAAAATACAATATAGAATATATTAATGATTGATAACAATGAAATAATAAATTTGGTGTAACAAAATTTCAAATACATAAAATTATTACTACCTTTCTCTATTTCCTCTAACTCTTTCAAATTTTCTTCCACATCAACAATTGGCACTTCCTTAGCTCTAAGCCAATCTTGTGTGCAAAGTAACGCTTGAACCATCTTCAATACAAAAATATTACACAAATATGTATAAACAAAGTCATATTAAGATATAAACAAACTTGATTTTATAAAATAAAAAGATAACGATGCATTACCTTAGGAGTTAAAGAACTCCGAAATGGATCTAGAGTACGACCTCCCGTACTAAAAGCAGATTCCAATGCAACGGTCGACAATGGGATGGCTAGTATGTCACGTGCCATGCGATTAAGAATCACATAACGCTGACCATTCTTACCCCACCATGTCAATGCATCTTGTTCTTCCTCCTCCGGCCCTAATTGATCATTTAAGTACCTATCCAACTCACTTATCGCATACCCACTTGTCCCCTTCAATCGTTTTGCTCTTTCTTTTAGTTTCATCACATAATCGGAACCCACTCCTTTACTATTATCAATATCCATTGACATATTATCTCCACAATCTGGAATATTAGAAGTAGCATACATTTTTCTATATTCCTCAAATAAAGAGTAAGCGAACTCCTTCACATCATTAGCAAGTTTTGTACCCTTTTCCGGTCCATGCATATCCGTTAGTGTCAATTCAACAATGACCATCTTAGAGTGAGGGTCGAGAAGAAGAGCAACATAAATGAACTTATTCATCTTATCCACATCCCCCCAATACTTATCAAACTTTTTTTTCATTGCAATGGCCATAGCTTGAAAATTCAAGTCCTCACTTTGTTCCCAATTATTCAACATATCATACATAGAAGCAATTTCTCCTAAACCTTTATTAGCTGTCACATAATGGGAACCAGAAATTCGTTTAGTTAACAGATAAAACCCCTCTAGAAACAAAACCAACCTCTCCACTTTTTCCCAATCTTCGGGTTCGGGATGCCTTTCATTGTCATTCAAATCCTCTCCATCAGGAAGAGATAACCCACTA